ATATGGGCAAACCATTTTTGACAAAAATGCCAAAAACATACAGTGGAGAAAGGAAAGCCTTTTCAATAAATGGTGCTGGGAAAACTGGAAAGCCACCTGCAAAAGAATGAAACTAGACTGTTGTCTATCACCACACACCAAAATTAACTCAAAATGGATTGAGGATGTGAATATAAGACCTGACACAATAAAATGCATAGAAGAAAACATAGGAACTAAACTCAAGGACCTTAGACTTAAAGAGGATTTTATGAATTTGATCTCAAAAGCAAGGGAAGTAAAAGCAAAAATAAATGAATGGGACTACATCAAACTAAAAAGCTTCTGCTCAGCAAAAGAAATCATCAACAAGGCAAAGAGATAACCACCCAAATGGAAAAATATATTTGCAAGCAACGCCTCTGATAAGGGCCTAATAACCAAAATACAAAGAACTCATACGACTCAATAACAACAACAAAAAACAAATGATCCAATCAAAAAATGGGCAGAGGACCTGAACAGACACTTCTACCTAGAGGACATACAAATGGCCAACAAATATATGAAAAGATGCTCAACATCACTAGCTATTAGGAAAATTCAAATTGAAACCACCAGGAGACACCTGTTAGAATAGCTATAATCAACAAGACAAGTAATAAGATATGTTGGAGAGGATGCGGAGAAAAAGGAAACCTCATACAGTGCTGATGGAACTGCAAATTGGTATAGCCACTAAGAAAAACTGTATGGAGGTTCCTCAAAAAACTAAGAACTGATTTACCATATGATCTAGCAATCCCTCTACTGGGTATTCACCCCAAAGACTTGAAAACCCATAGATCGGATAAAGAAGCTGTGGTACTTATATACAATAGAATATTACCAAGCCATAAGAAGAGATGAAATACTGCCATTTGCAACAACATAGATGGATCTTGAGATAATCATGCTAAGTGAAATAAGCCAGACAGAAAAAGTTGAAAATCACATGATATCACTTATATGTGGACTATAAATCTAAAAGCAACAAACATGATAAACAAACAGAGACTTATGGACATGGACTATAGACTAGTGGTTACCAGAGGGTTGGGGGGGAGGTAGATGGGATAAAAGGGGTCAAATATGTGGTGACATAAAGAAATCTAACTATGGGTGGTGAGCATACAGTGCAATATATATATATGCCTTATTGTTGAATTGTGCACTTGAAACTTTGGATTTTGTTAACCAATGCCACCTAAATAAATAAATAAATACATAAATACATAAATAAGGACACACACACACACACACACACACACACACACACACCCACAACACACACGAACTGCTGTATTCCCTTCCCAGTTACTACGCTTCCCAAAAGTAACCTTACTTCTAACACAAAAGATTATAGTTGTTTGTTTTGAACTTTATGTAAATGCTATTCTATTCGAACGCTTTTTTTCACTCTAAAAAAATTGTACACAATGGTCAATAAAAACATATTTTTTTTGATAAAAATGGTTTAAGTATGACAATACTGTGGGTTTTGTGGCTACTTTAAAAATTCTAAATGCAAGGTCCTTGCTTTTAGAATCTATTGTGAAACTAGCTTTGATGTTTGAATCTTTGATCATCTAAAAAATGCTAGAAGAAGAGTTTTGTCCTATCTTCACCACTTGTTAGGTCTGTGAACTCATACTTAACTTGAGCATCAGCTTCCTTCCATTTAAGATGGAAATAATATTACCTGTTCTACCCAATAAAAATGTGAGAATAATTTATATCCATTGTAATCTATAACTATCATTGACATTAAATTTTTTTAAAACCTGAATTCTTATCCAATATGAAAAATGTAAGCATTTACTTATATGGCAGCCACCTACCTTTATGGAAATAAGTACAAAAGGACACAAAACTGCCTCAGACTACAGAAAACACATACTATAGAGTTCATGTATTTATAGCCTATAAAATGCTTAAGCCTTTAAACAAGGTCTATTTTCTTTTATTATAGAAACATTTCATTAATTCTTTTGACAAATATTTACTGAATTCCATTTATGTGCCATGCATTATTGATTTTGCTGCTGGGGATAAAACAGCAACCTGTTCTTTTATTCTAGTGCAGGGAAATATATAAAGAAAACATATAGCATATCTGAAGGTAAAAAGCATAGTGAAAAATAAAGCAGGTAAAGGAGGAGACCAGCAGTGTGGGGAGAGATTGCAATTTTAAATAAGGTGAAAGGTGAACAAAGTATTTATGTTCCCAGATGAGAAGGACTAATAAGAGTTTAATTGGCACTCACTGGTAATAACAAAAAGGAGAAAGAATAAAAAAAATTTTAAAGTATTCTAAAAGCAGGACTGAAACTTCCAGTCAAGATGGCAGAGTAGAAAAATGATGTGCTTGCCTCATCCCAGGACCACATCGAAATTACAACTAAATTATAGAGGAGCCACCTTTGAGAACTAGCTGAACAGAACTCCTATAACTAAGGATATAAAGAAGAAGCCATGTTGAGACTGGTAAGAGAGAAAGAGATGCAAAATGGGCTGGGCTGTTAAAAATTAGGAGGGATACCTTGGTTGCAGAGTTCCCCCCTTAGGAGCAAGGGGTCCCAACCCCACACTAGGCTTCCCAGTCTGGATGACCAGTACCAGAAAGAGGAGAACCCACAATATCTGGCTGTAAAAATCCATAGGGATTCTGTCTGAGTGAGATGGGAGGGCTGCTAGAGTCCTAGGCATTCCTCTTAAAGGTCCCAAGCACAGACTTAGTTGCTGATGGACTCACTCTCAGACTCACCTGCTCTGAGTTCCAGGGCGGAGGCGGCAGCTCAAAAAGTGCCAGAAACATAAGGGGAAGTACTGAATTATCTGGCTTGAGAGTGAGGGCTAGAGGGGTAGCTCTCTCCTGGACCAAACTGCTGGCAGACACCATTGTTCTTTTGCTGAGCTTCCCTGCCCCAGCCTGCAGGCACAGGTGGGAGCCAAATCTCAGTTTCTATCAAACTCATTTCACCCTGGTGATTCCCTGAGAACCTGCCCTATTTAACCTGAGCACCAGCCCAAACCTCTTTCAGAGGCTATTCCTGACAGGTTGCCAGACTCAGCTCACACTGCAGATTTTCCTAAAATCTCCCAAAGTTCCACAAACATCACACACGTGGAAGCTGGCCTCAGCATGCCCTCTACCTCTTGCTTAGTGGCCCACAGCACTTATGGCAGTGGGCCTTGATTTGTAACAAAGCCTTTCCCAGGTGCCTCTAAGTCCAGCACAGGCAACTACCAACCATAGATCACTTCATATCTTCTACCCTGTGGCCCCAAGCTAGGCACAGGCAGCAGCTGACCTAGGCCTGCACCAAAGTCCCTCCCAAGAGGCCCAGAACCAACACACTTAGTTGTCTGCTCCAGAACACACCAGAGCACCACCCAATTAACTCCACAAATGACACGCCCAAAGGTTGGATTTGGGA